CCCTCTTCCCTTGTCCGCCGGAAGGACTATTTCGTAGTTTTCTGTAATTTTGTGCGTATACTCGTTATTCCGCACCTGTTTATGGGCTCTTCATGGGTGGATAAGGGGGATTTGCTGTGCTAATAGACAAAAAATAACACACAGAAAATGGGAAGCACTTACAAAATATTAAGTAAGTATTCAGCGAAGAGGATCGACGGAATACTAAAGGATGCGCTGAATCAAATGCAGATAAACAGAAAAATCGACGGAGTTGTGAGATGTGTTGCCCTCATTTCACTCAAGGTGAAAGACTTGTAGCTGAATTTTCACACAATTACATGAGTATACCTTGTTTCAATTAAATTTCATATATCCTTGCTTTTCAAGAAGTATTCTCCTCCAGGCAGAAGTTGACTGCAGTTTTAACCTAGCCTATCTCTCATCATATATATATATATGGTTCCGAAATAGCGGAACGCATTTCACAGACGGTACACGAAATCGACTGGAAAGAAAAAGGAAGAATAGCCATATATGATGAAAATATAAGGGAACACGGACTTTGAGAGGCTATCGAAATCCTGACTGAAAGAAATCTAATAAACAAGAGACAGGGCAAAATTATCGAAAACCTTGTGTATTGCTTAAGCAAACTCGAGGGAGATAAAGAAGCAGCAAGATGAGCCTAAGGAAGACTAGATCAAGAAAGTAGTTTTTACATGGATAAAATGAATCAAAAATGGGGGCCTGCTAGTGGCAATCAAAAATCAAGAGACGTCCGAAATGAGCTGTCAAACCAAGTAAACAACTAGAACGTTTAGGAGTTAGCAAACAAGGAAATAGGGCAAGGGAAAGTCATGACTAGGCATTATGGATAGACCAGCGGGACCAGAGCTACACTCGGGAGAGGACGGAGACCAGACAGCTGTCCATGAGGTAAAAGCTTGACCACACAATGTATATGGTACACATGCCAAACGATACTAATAAAAACTGCAGCATTCTTTCTAGTTCACTATAGGAGACACTTGCAAGTCTAGTTACATTTTATTGTTGGTTCGAAATGGCTTTAGCAACTTGTTAGAGGCGAAAGAAACCTCACCGGACATACCCATTCCTGCATCCTCTGGCATAATAATTATGATAATTTCCAGCATTAAACGGTTGACTTGACGCATTTCTAGACGGGTTGCCGATATCTTCAATGAGAGGCGTCATCCTAAATATAATTACAACTTATGGTGACAAGTTAAGGTAATACCGTCGCCTCAGTCCTAGCTTCTGGTAATGCATTAATATCCGTCATTAAATCGAATTGAATGGCATACTCTTAAGTAACAATAGAACGAAGACAGATGTAGGTAGATTATTTGTCATATGAAGTGGGATTTAAGGATAACAAAACAGCGCTAGAAGCTAAGACAAGAGATGAGGCGGAGATGCCAAACGGCAAGAAGAAATTTTTTCATGTGGATTAACTCCACCTGCCAGTGATGGCTTTCAACTGTGCGCCAAGGATAGTACATCTCAATGACAATGACAGCCGAAGTTTATTGAATTCACTAGGTCATCGGTCGTTAAATAGTAATAAAAATCCCAAATGATGAAACGCAAATAATGTCCATGCATTGGAATTAAATATATTTCCAAGAGTATAAAATATGACTCACGCATCATCATAGGCGCAAACCGATTGAGCATGATACCAAGGCCCTCAATAAGGGCAAGAATGACGCCGCCGACAACGGCCTGCCCAGCCATGGCTGCTGGCCCATGACGCACAGCGAGGAGAGCACCAGTAACAGCACCACTGGCAATAGAATTCCAGGGGTCCTCCTTCTGTCGAGCAAAAACGAGGCTACAGTCGACCGCTGTGAAGGTGCCCCCCCAGATGGCGAAGGCGCCACCCACCAGTGGAGCCTTTTGCCGGCAAGTGGCCAGACCACTGGCTAATCGACGGAAGGCACCTGATGGAGCGTTTCGTAGACCTTTGTAAGTGTGCACAAGTCCACCCCCAATGCTGCCCATCGCGAAAGCCGCCCCACTATCACTGACAATACGGAATGGGCTGAAATGTCCAAAAAACAGAGCATATAAAAAAAGAGTAAGAAAGGTTAAATGAGATGAACAAATGAGCAAAAAGATCAAAATGGTCGAAATATTAGAGAAGGCTCCATCATTCATTTTCAATTATACGATGTTGATATATTAAATGAAGAACATTAATAAAATAGCTAATATTTAATGTGTGATTAAGGACGTATTACCAGTCAAATATTTAGATCAAGAAACAAATCCGCATAACAATGCTCCATCCTCCGAAGGAAGACTTGAGAGCTTAGCTGATAAACAACAATGCAGTTATAAGATTAATTTTACCCACCTTCGTGATGAGGGGCCAGTAGTTAAATCTTCCCAGTGGTATGAGTGGGCCCCATGTTTACATTGGATCTCACATGGTTTTACCTAGCCATAAAGTATTCTCATCCAAGGGAGAATGCAATTTCGACTTAACCTAGGTCTCACCAAAATAGCTACTGCAATAAATACAACTTTGCTTTCAAAAATATTTTGACGTTACTTTGAAGGCTAATCGCAAGTCAAGAAATCGGCAACAAGGGGGCCACCCGATTCATCCAGCAATGAACTAAGTGAAGATTAACCTGTATCTTTTGGATATGGCTCTATTCACTTCCTTGCAGAATCGCTCATTAAACTCATATTGGATTTTTATATAGAGAATAGTTTCATAAAAATAGATCTTAATTTATACAACTTGATACCATAAAAACTAGGAAACCGATTAACGAACTCCATTATTAAATTCTTAAAGGCTTGAAATAAGCATAAGAAGCAAGTACACTAAATAAAAACAAAACGAAGATTAAAATGATTAAACTTAAAGTAAAAATGTGCTAGACATACAACCTGACTGAAGAATAGATGCGAAATGTATTATGTAAATTATCACTATGATTAAGCTCCTTCAAAGTAAAATATTTCAGTATGGGAAAGAAGAAATCGTACTTCAAGCAAAGCATGCTTTATAACTAAACAAGAACTCCAGGTAAATTTGAGTACAATGGGGAAAGATTCAAAGCATGAACACGCCCTAATTTATGTAAATTTATACTCAATGTTCCGCAAAAAGTTGCATAAAATAAATATAAAATCTTGCAGACAAATAAATTCGAGAAAATATATCCGGTCCAATGCATGTGGGAACGGTTAGTATTGCTAGGAATGGACGTTCAATGTACACGTAATGAAGATGAAAGACAATACCAAGTTCGAAAATGAGGACACAAGGTAGCAAATTAAAATTAAAAAAGTAATTTGATGAGCTTAGACAGACGAATGTGGTAACTCAAGACTTTTACAAAAAGGAGTCTATGAGTTGATGGCATTGATCACATGACAAAAATCAGCCCATTTCCACCTTAAATGGATATGTCTTATAGACTGGATTAACTTGAATGTCTTATTAGAGTCAAATGGTTGCAATATAATGGGAATCAGTCGTCTTCTGGGTAGATCAGGCTGGGAATCTCCTCCTTACGCACTCGCATACGAACTGAAAGTCCACATGAACATTATTTAAGGATATTGATCAAAATCCGCATTTTTTTCGTAGTTAATTGTATGACGTGACGAGCGACAATGCCGCGATTAAGAAAGAATGCTTGTATCAAGAACTAGCTTAATTACGATAGAGGATAACTTATTTATTAATCTGGACCAATTAAGGAAATTACGAGGCAAGTGTGCAAATAAAAGGATTTCATTTACTATGCCAGCCTCGATTAACTATTCCGCTGCTTGTCATCATCTAGTGATCATGAGCACTAGTTTCATAAATTGGTCTAGCCCAAGATTTATTCAAGATTGCAATTAACATAAAGCCAGAGGATACTTCTCAAACCAAATTAAGTATCTAATTTCCAAGTTTGCTTCAAGTTTTCTAAAAGCAAGTAAACAGCTCCAAAACATGCTACATCAGAAGCTGATTAAAAAGATACACTGAATAGCTCACAAAATCTATGTATTCAAGGTATGAAAGCAGAGTTCTAATAAAAACAAACGTTATCATTCAAAAATTTGCTAACTTACACTACATCGGTCTTAAATTAAATTGTATGCAGACAAAACACCTAATTATAATGGATAGACTAAATAGTAATACATAGAGCCGATTATCAACAACTCCTGGAGAGGGGATGAAAAATGAAAATTTATTTTTCAATACACTTAAGCCCAGCATGATGGGCTATGAAATGTGGTACAACTTATATGATGGCAAATCTTTTACGTCCATTAGATGCTAATATATTGGAGATCTGTATAGCACATACTCAAAATGTGCAAACATGTGATAGAAAAATATGGTTGGAGGCATGAGTTAAATGAATACAATTCTTATTATACACAATAAAAACATACGGAATTGAAAAATATAAGGTGTTAAGATCGATACCCAGTTAAGGTGTCAAACATTTGCGCCTACTAAATGATGGCAATAAGACAGACAAGAGAGGATACTGTATGAAGATATGAATTAGTGACTTCGTGTAGAATGAACGAAATAAATGCATTACACAGTAAAATAGCCAGCGAACGTAGGGACACAAGGTAATAACAGAGCGAATAACGAATCAAACCTATTAACCAAAAAATAGACCTTGCTTCATAGGGCAGGATAACTGGCAATTGAAGAAGCTTAGTTTGTGTTCCTAAGTCTTCAAGGGACACAAATTTAAATCTATGAAAAAGTATAAATCATGTACCAGGGGTCTCTAGTAAACTCATCCATAGAAAAGAAGAAGGGAGAAGAAGCACGCCCGGACTAGCCCGCGGAGCGGGTTGCAGATGTAAATAAGAGAACAAACAATGTTTTGCAAATTCTCTACTTATTCTACAATGATACCTTTTAACTTATGCTAATATATGTAATTATCGATCAATTATTAATTTATAAAATTAGTGTAACTCATGAAATAAACTATTCTTGTCTAATTAATGAGCACGCCAAAATTATATCAAAAGTGAGGCAAATAAAAATTGAACTCTAGAACAGTTTATGCAATTACATTAATTTTTTATCGGCAAAATCCTATTTCTTTTAGCTGCTTTTTTGAAATTTTGTGAGCATATCTATGATTTGGCTTATGCTACTGAGAGCTAACTTAGGCTAAGTTGAAAACCCATCAATGTTAAAATTCAAAATAGAGTTTCTTATCTTAACTTTTTGAATATGCATATTAGCTACAAATCCCTTAGTGTTCTGAATAGGATAACATCATTAAGTCTTGTTATATTACAGATTGCTTGCATTTATTTAAACCAGGTCATGAAGAATTCTTTTGTACCCAGCAAAGGACTACGGTATACTATTACATTACACACAGATTTTGACAGCATTTGACTTATCCATGTATGCAGTTTGTGTCCTACCCAGGAATATAATTAACTTTAGAATCAGTTATCATAACTTCTTGAGGGAAGTGCCTGCTTTCTCCATATGAAGCGACCGAAAAACAAACATTTCTAGGCTACTGTCAAAAATGGGCAAGTGCTTTAATCCAAAATTCCAAGAAGCATCTTTAACGCTACTTGATTACATCATTCTGCACCCATATTTGAGTTATTGAATGAGGATTATGAAGATATCATTCCAGATTAGGGGACCAATAGATCTACTAATTTCGCTCGTTGAATTTCTAGGTAGTCTGCCCCGCAACAATATACATTTTTGAATTAAGTTAGCTCAGTCTCACTTCTAAACCTAAGAGCAAAGCTCATGGTAGGAATAAGTTAAAATTGTGTGAATATAAATGATAGAATTCAGCCTAATCAAACTTGTCTTATCACGTAACCTGGATATGAATTTAAATATTGGCAGAGATAACCTGTACTAATTGCTCGTCGCGCTCTTCTATCAAAGAAAGAGATTTTAGTGCACATCAAAAATAAAACATCACTTCTCAGCTCTTTTCAGTCCAAAAAATACAATGTTATAAAATATATCGTAGCTATGACGAACAAGATGGTATGGCCTTCAGTTTGGCCGCAGTCTCCTTCAGTTTTATAGAATTGGTTGACCTAGTTTTCGCCATAGTGACTTGACTTTCCATTTTAAAAAGAAAAGTGAATTTGAAGGAATTGGTTACGTGGTCTTATCGGAAACCGAAGGAAGTTTGCCGCATAATGAAGATTGTTGTATTGCACCTGTTGTCTCTTAAGTTGTCAGTCTCATATATTCCTAGAGTACAAGTTATTATATTAAATAAATATTTTATTATATTATTATTAGTATAGATATATATAATCATTTTATATAATTAAATATGGCTGATTATGTGCCAAAAAAATTTTAACTTACAAAACGAACGGGGCTCAACAAAAACATTTCCTACTGTATCAGACTTCTATTTGATTTTTATCAAGGGAATAAGGATATGCGCGCAATAACTGTGGGATTCATGTTGCTGCAGATACCAAGTTCCTTGTCTATAGGCATTCAAGCAGAAACCTTATAAAGGGTCCCACATAAGGTCCAGAGTGTTTATTTTATTTTTGTAAATAATTAGAGTTTCGAGACTACCGATAAATCAGTTATATGAGATGTATTCACACTATTTCGTTTATGGTGATGAAGGTTTGATAGTAAAATTTTCCCACCATGATATGAGTAGTATTGACGTTTCCATTGAATTTTACAGAGCGTTGCTTTCCCAAAAGTTGCTCTCATCTAGGATGGACTACAGGTTCAACCTCGCATAGATCTTATCAATACCCATAGCATGAGTCGAACAGTGACAGTGCAGCATATGAGCTTGACAGGTTTTGAAATAGTTTGACCTTGTTTTCGCAACCTGGTCATAACGGTAGGAAGACTTAGAGGATATCACTTAGTCCGAAGTCCATTATATGCATGATAATTTCCAGACGTTTCGCCGGCATTGTCATTTAGTCTTGCTAGTTTTAGCAAGATAAGTTTAGCTTATCCTCCAACTAAATGTGTGCTTCACAGTCGTGGTATCTCTCTTTCTCTCCTGGTTTATTCACCTATCCTATTACCTTATATCACGCCTTCACTATCAAAATTTTTTTTTCTTGTTTATTTAAATGTAATATGGTGTGCCCTTGTAAGCGGCTTTCATAAGGGATCTCCACACTCCATGCTCGCGTTCTCATCCCCCTTCACCTTTGTGCTAAGAATGTTGATCAGAGTTTGACATATTGCTACTCAGTCCTCCTTCTCCAGGTCTTACCGGATTCTCCCTCTTGGCTCGTAGGATCCGTCTGGTATCTCCCTGATTCAAGTATTTTACTCGAACCCTGCCTCCCCACCGGTGCTACTCGAGGCGTTATTATCCATCTCATGCATCTGAGTGACTAATTCGAGGCCAAAGCCTCTGAGTAAGTATCATGGTCAAGCTTTTGCTACATGGACCACGTCTCTGGTAAAACCTACTGTAACCCAATTAGCTCCAGTCTCCGTCGCGTCTATCCTGTTTCTATCCCTTATACTAAGTCTAAGAATTGCTAAGCCCAAGTCTTTTGTGGGCCAACCCACAAATGATGTGGTATTGCTTGCTTTGATCAGGTTCGATGATAAGCCATAGCATTTGTGGGTTGGTACACAAAAGACTGGGGCATAGGAAGTCATAGACTTCGTATGACGGATAGAAATAGGATAGAGGCAGGGGAAGCCATAGCTAGTTGCCTAACAATAGACGTGCTTCATGGACCATGTATATGATCAAACACGTCTATTGTTAGACAATTCCATTGATTATGCTCTCTTCAAGTCTTCT